TAACAAGAGGGATGAAAATGAGTCAATATTCGTACAAATATTACAAAAATTGTCTATAAATTCAGATTAACCGTCATTCCTGCCTCATTCTTGTTCTCACCTCCGCTAACCTTTTCTCTCCATCTTCTGCTATTTTTTTTTTTTTCACCATTGCATTTATTTCGAAGGCTTTACCCCTCTCTGATAATTCCGTGCCAGAGCCTCCCCCTTGTGACCCGCCTCCCGTTAACCCTCGCTTTGCTAAACCGCCGGACCCGCCCCCTCCTCCCGCGCAGCCTCCACCGACGAGACAGGTATGGCGCCCGGCGTTTGGGTTTTACGAGTGGGCTGGACTGGAGGATCGTGGGAGGGCAGAGTTTGCTATAGACGTTTCATGCAGCATTGGTTCTTCTGCTGTAAATTTATTTCTGATGAAACGATTAGAAATGTTGTTTTTCTTTAAACCTCGTTTGTTACGTTTTAGTAGGAGATGATCAGGGGGAAACATTGATAGAAAATTGTATTGAATGAAAAATAACGTTACGGCTTCACTCCAGCTTTACATAGAGTAGGGAAGATTTCAAAACTCTACCAGGTTTTATTCCTGTTTCCCTTTTGGGGAGTCTCCTCTCACTTCCTGTCATGGTGACACCCTCTCGTTCCCTAACACACTGGGTGTCACCAGGCAGGAAGTGAGGGGAAATCTCCCCAGTGGGTATACAGACTGAGGCTCTATACCCCTTATGCATTTAATCCAGAAATGATTGGGCTTCATATTACTGTAGACCCAGCAGCCTTTAGAAGGGGACACTTTCTAGATGGGGGGGCACAGAGTTTGGCCAGTTGGGGGAAGGGAATCGCTGTAATAAATATATAAGTTCCTCTCAAAGGGTGACCTTTAAGCTAGTGATCTGCATGCAGTGTACAGCATTTGGCTTCCAGTGAGGACCCTACTTTTCATTCGCAGTGTTTCCCAGTTTCAGGCGGTAGCTAGGACTCCACCCGTGGTCAGACCGCTGCCTCTGCCATCCGTGCCTGCTGCGGCTCCTGCAACCAGGGTGAGGGCTGCTGTGACCGCCCCCAGAGAGGCAGTCCCGCCCATGAGGAGGCAGTCGAGGGAAGAGGCCGAGCGCCCCTCCAGCCCAGCAGAAGAGGGGGACTCTCTCAGCTCCGCCTGTCCTTCCGCTCTTCTGTTGACCGGCATCTTAGAACGTCTGCAGCAGATCGAAGAGAAGGCCCAGCAGGTGACAAAGCCGGCCCATCCACGCACAGAGCCAGGTCAAGAGTAGTACGCATGTGGGTAAAAATAACTAGTTGAAGCCATACCCCTAAATGGACGACATGTGGTTTACTCTTTGCACTTTTTTTTTATCAATGGTATCACTTTTTTTTTTTACTATAAGTTATTATTGCGATTTGGTGATGCCAACATGGGCCCTCCCTCTTCCTTCATGTGAATTTCAATGACAGGTCCACTTTAAGGGTTCTACTTGCTGTTTTTACCCAGAATGGTACTATTCTTGACACATCCCTAGCATGATACTCAACCAAACCTAAAACAATAAGTTACTTTGTGAGAAGGAGTCAGTAATAGTATTCACAGCGATGCATGTAAACGTTATCACACAAAGAGATCATTGACATTCAGGACCACTGTGGCCAATTCTTAGGTTGGCCGCCATTTTAGACTGAAGCAGGCTCTTAAGCTGTCCATGCACCACTCAAATTTCATCCGATTCTTGATTATACATACATGCTTGTGAACATTATCCATCTTTTGCATAAAGGTAACCGGTTTATTAGGTTTACTGGCCCTTTAACAATAATCCTTCAGCATGTGGTGACCCTTCCCTGCACCATCAATGCTTTTCCACTAACCAGTAAAGATTTGATCACCATATTAATTTAAACATTTAGTGCAGGGGTAGGAAACCTGTGCACTCCAGCTGTTAAGGAACTACAAGTCCCATGAGGCATTGCGAGACTGACAGCCACAAGGCATGACTCCCAGCGGCAAAAGCATGATGTGATTTGTAGCTTCATCACAGCTGCAGTGCCGAGGTTGCCTACCCCGGATTTAGAGTGTTTCAGAAAAGCTCCCGGATTGGAGAATGTGATATTGCATATATTTCTGGTGTGGGGAGAAGAGCTCTTCTGAGCAATATTTGCACATTAAATGAAAGCCAAATAGCTCCCTATCCATTAAAAAAAATGTACCCTAGAAATATATATATATATACAGTACATAGTAGTCTGATGGGGATGTGGTGCCCGGGTACATAGTAGTCTGATGGGGATGTGGTGCCCGGGTACATAGTAGTCTGATGGGGATGTGGTGCCCGGGTACATAGTAGTCTGATGGGGATGTGGTGCCCGGGTACATAGTAGTCTGATGAGGATGTGGTGTCCGGGCACATAGTAATCTGATGGGGATGTGGTGCCCGGGTTCATAGTAGTCTGATGGGGATGTGGTGCCCGGGTACATAGTAGTCTGATGGGGATGTGGTGCCCGGGTACATAGTAGTCTGATGGGGATGTGGTGCCCGGGTACATAGTTATAATGTCATGTAATAAGTGTTTATCTCCCGTGTTCCTACGCTCTATCTAGTGGCCATAATGCAGTATTACATTACATTCGACCTTAGGGTTAGAGTTCAATTCGCACAGAACAAATGTTCACAGAGATTTGCAGGGTGAACGGCTCTGTGAATGGTTTATAAATGGACCGCGAGGTGTTGGAAATCTGTTGCAGTTGTGCCTTTTACCAGTCAAGATGGTGCTGAACACATGGATGAGCCCTTCTTGTTTTATTAGGAAAAGGACCACACGAAGTTACATTATAACCTGCAGTGCCACTTTGAGGAACATTATGTTGTACAAGCACACTGACACCTAGTGGCAGAACCAATAATCACAGTATAATATATGAGAATGGTTGTTGCACCTTTGTCTGTATAAACGGCGTGCTAACACAAGGTAGGAGTGTGCATATTATATCATTAAAGTATCACCGGTGGGTGGACTGTCCCTGTAATTGATTAGTAAGTGTATCCCAGGGATTCATATTTCTACGTTCCAGCTACCAAGCACTATTTTTCTCAATGATCACTGCTCACCCTCACTGGCGGCATGGTTTTAGTCAATCAGGCTGCAGTGGTCTGCGAGTCGATCTGCACTTTGCATGTCCTGAACCTTCACTCTTTTCCTGAAAACTGGTGCAAAAGAAAAACTGATCATTATCTGTATTGGAGAATTACCAAAAGTTGACCAATTGCAAGTAGCAATGAATTAATCAATTTACAATCAGCACACTGCAAATTTTTTTAAACTTGTTGAACCTGTGCAGCCAGAATTGTCAAATCTGTGGAGAATTGTACAGTCCATGAATCAAAATGGTTCCGGAGTTGCTCCGTTCTCCTCGGATCAGGCAGTTCTATATAATGAGGTGAATATAAGGATTTAGCAGTTACCTTTTCCTCCTCATTGGCTCATCACTACCCGCAATTGCCGCATTTTTCTTTTGCGCCGGTTCTGTGTCTCTGTTTGTCTTTTCTGAGCTTTCTCGTTTTCATTTCTCTCTTTTTCCATCTCTCCGTCTTCGTCTTCCTCCTGCAGAAAAGGGCTCAAGCTTTATCCATAAGAGATTTCCATAAAAAGAACATTAGGGAGAAGGCGGCGCACTTGGCCTCCATGTTCGGCCCCTCGGACTTCCCGCAGGTGAATATTCCGGAGTGTTTAGCACGCCACCCTCAGTGGGACACATTGTACTCAGCCTCAGATGATAATAACATGATTAACAAAAGGTCACATAGTAACAGAATCATTCAGTCACATATTTGGCTTTCTATTCTTTATTTAGCTGTTTGGCTTTAGTTCAACTAATAATAATTTGCAATTCCTTGTGTAGCTCAGTAAGGAAGTTCTTAGAAGAAAAAGTATTCCCGTATCTCATTCCATCACCTATCCCAGAAATCAGAGGATTGTTTCTCATTTAAAGGAGGACTATGAGGGGGAGTGCTTTTCACTCACCTCATAGTTCTAGCCGACCTGTGACAATGAGACTGTCACAGGTCGGCTCAGTAGATGGGGAGGTGAGCGAACATATACCGGCGTTCGCTCACCTCTCGATCCTGTCACGGCTCTCTGTCGTGACAGGGGAGGGGCTGGATTCCCCTCTCCCCACTCCGATCCGCCAGCGCTGACTGGCAGAACGGACGGGGGAGGGGGCGGGTACAGCTGACTCTGCCTTTAGATAGGCAGAGCCAGCTGTCACTCACACAGCTGGGCGGGTCCAGTTTCGGGATCCGCTTCAGCTGTGGCATCTCAGTATACCGCCAGCCGTAGCTGGCGGTATACTGAGCTTAGGGTGGTGGGAGGATGCTAGTTTGTGTCCTCCTGTTACCCTAAGGAAAACTATGGGGAAAAGCCTTAACCCCATAGTTCTCCTTTAAGGACTGTGTGCGGAGCCATGCAAATTATTTATTTACACCCCATCAGCCAGATGGACTTCCAGAACCAATAGTGTATAGTGCAACTACTGTATAACCTATTATTATAGAGCCATATATTCTAAAATGCATAGAGGCAATTTGGCCATCATCAGTGCCATGTATGGAAACCATGGCTTCTATGGAGTATGGGCTATGGGATTGGGGCCTAAGGAGACAGTACAACCATACAGGTGATGGTGGTAAGGGACTAAAGAAATTAAAAAGCCCTCCAAATGAATGCAGTGAATGGAAACCATGGCTTCTATGAAGCAGGGCTTGGAACCCAACGAGCTAGAATAACCAGTCCCAAGCACTACTCTGTAGAAGCTGTGGTTTCCATACCCTGCCTTTAGTTGGAGGGTTTTTTAATTAATTTAGTCCTTTCTCACCATAACCTATCTGGTTATAATATCTTGTTGGGTCCCAAGACCTATGCCATAGAAGCCATGGTTTCCATACACTGCATTCAATTAGATTACTTTTTGATTCCTTTAGACCCCATCTCACCATAACCTGTATGGTTGTACTGTCCCATTGTGTCCCGAGCTCTACTCCATAGAAGCCCATGTTTCCATATAATGCATTCAATGGGAGTTTTTTTTTAGTATTTTAGTCCCTTCTCACAATACTCTGTCTGGTTATACTGTCTCGTTGGGCCCCAAGCCCTACCCCATAGGAGCCATGGTTTCCATACACTGCATTCAATGGGAGCCTTTTTTATTCCTTTAGACCCATCTCACCCTAACTTGTATGGGTGTACTCAGGGGCGTCCCGAGGCTGGGTGACACCCGGAGCGGTAACCGAGTGTCACCCCACCGAGACGTCACGTGTGTGCGCGATGACGTCATCGCGCACGCGCGGCAGTATTCTGATACCTGCCGGCAGCCATCTTGGTGATGGACGCCGGCAGAGAGAGGAGGTACCAGTCACCTGGCGGGATAAGGTATGCCGCCGGGTCCCCACCTCTCTTCTGATACTGTCGGGCATTCGGTCCATGACCGAGCGCCCGACTTTTCAGAGGGGGGTGACACCAAAATGACTGTGAGTCATTTTGGTGTCACCCCTCCAATGGTGTCACCCGGGTGCGGGCCGCACCCCTGTTGTGATGCCACTGGATGTACTGTCCCATTGGGTCCTAAGCCCTACTCCATTGAAGTCATGGTTTCTATACAGTTCATTCAATGGGAGAGTTTTTTTTTCCTTTAGCCCCTACTCACAATAACGTGTATGGTTATGTTATCTTCTTGGGTCCCAAGCCCTACTCCATAGAAGCCTTAGTTTCCATACACTGCACTGATGATGTCCAAAAAGCCTGAAACAGGTCTATGCAGTTTGGAATAAATGGCTCTTTATTATTAGGCTATATTTGCACTATACACCATTGGTTCTGGATGTGCACTTGGGTGCGGGCGTGTAAAGAAATGATTTGCATGGCTCCGCCCACTGCCCTGAAATAAGAAATAATAGCCTTATTTTTGAGATATGTGATGGAATGAGACATGTGAACATCTTCTTCACCGTTCTTTATAATACTTTGTTTTAACATTTTGTTGTTTCGCTTCTGCTCTGTACAGGACAAACTGTCCGCTCCCTGCTTTCCTCATTTCCCCTCTAAAATTAATTTCTATGAACCCCGAGTTCCTGACCACTCTACTCCTCCGTCTCCATCTGCCACTGACTCTACCCACAACAATGCTCGGTCTACAGAGGTAATGCAGCATGTCTGTGTGCAATATTAAATGCCGAATGTCAAAACAAATTTTTTTTTACTTTGTATGGAGCTGGGAAGGGTTGGAATCCTTGTCAGGTCTTTTGCTATCTGTGTCCTGCTGTGGAGCTCCAGCAGCTCTATTCGCCTTGGTGACCACTGTCATTGGGACAAAAAGTCATGGAAAAACCTACATTTAAATGGTTATATAAGTAAGGAGAAATGTTCCAGTGGGGACACCTGTTCCAATGACAAGTCTGAGATATATAATCACTTCCTGTTGTGTCTTCAAGACAGGAAGTGAATGAAGATCTCCATAATGGGACACAGACAGAGAAAAAAAACCCAATAGAAATATACAAAGGAGTGTCAAATCCAAAAAATGAGAGTGTCCAAGAAGCTTTTCATTGCTTGTAATTCAATCAGATAAAACAGCCAACATATTTCTGGGGCCAAAACACTTCCCCTTCATCAGGGCTAAAAAATAGATCTAAAATCTGATAAATAAAAGTGGAAACGTGTATACAATTATTATTAAAATTATTGAATTATAAAATTATTATTAAAAGTGTGTCATTTAGTAACACAGTCCTATGCTCAAAAACATGTTATACATAAAATTTAAAAAGAAACTGCAAGTAATATATATATATATATATATAATGTATGTATGCTATGCATGTATGTATGTGTGTAAATATATATATACGCACATACACATTAGGTTCTCGGTCCAAACCTGAGCTCCTCTGAACACGGAAGTGCCATGGGCTACCCACTCAATCAGCTGCGGACCAGGGCATTTCCCTCCCTGCAGCTGCACATAATGGGGATGCAGTGACATCATTGATCTTATGCAGCCATATAAGGTAAAATGACATCACTGCATCCCATTCCGTTTGATTAGGTGCAGATGCGGGTCGGGAATTACTGACCGCAGCTGATTGGGCAGCGGCAGAAGGAGCTTCTTTCTGTGTTTACAGGAGCTCCTTACATGTTCAGAGGAACTCAGGTTTGGACCAGGTTCAGTCCAAGTCTGAGCTCACCCTAGTAAACGTTAATGAGACCTCCACATTTTACACTTAATCACGCCAGCAGATACTGGTCCCGTAGAAGCCTTTCTGCTTTTCTCGGGCATACATCTCTTGTTGTATTCTTGCACTTGTCATCTGCTACTTTACTTTTTTTTTGTTGACAATTGTTATATATAATTCTCTTCTGTCTCCTCTGTCCTATACAGAATAATCTCCTCTCTCCTGATTTATCCCCTTTCTCCTCTCCGATCCCTTTCTATCACCCTCCTGCTTCATCTCCTCCTTCGTCTCTGTCTTCAGCTGTCTCCGCCCACAGCGACACTCAGTCTAAGAAGCTACTGCAACATGTGAGTCTGATTCTAGTTCTGCACATTGTGTCCATTTCTGTTTGATAATCCTATGAATGGGACAACATAAAAAAATCTACATTACCACCATGCAGGGGTTTTCCTTACTAATTTAGATTCTTCTCTTCCTATCCCGGTCATGCCCCCACTTTCTTTATAGTTATTCTTTAAGTTTTTATTTTTTCTAACTTTAAGATTTTTCTGATTTGCTGGAAAGAGTCAGAGCCCTTGGAGTCCCTAATATCCTTCCACTTCCGCATCAGACTAGCTGCTAAACCTCTGGGTTTGGCTCAAGGCCCTACAATGGGTTGTCTTGCACCCAACAATCTATAGATCTGAGTAGACACACTCTTCCCTGTCTGCTGTGTTTATCCTGTGCGCTGTTATGGCACAAACCTCCATCTATACAAAGTATAAGTGTTTTCTTCCCGCACAACGCTGCAGAAAGGGGTCCACTTATGATGGATCAGAGATGAGAAGACGAGTCCTTGTGGCTGCTCTTCATGGCTGGCTTGTGCTGCTTCCTATATAATGACATCAATAGAGGAAGAGGCTCACTTATTTATTACACTGAGAAAATATGTGGCCTGTGTTGTGTAATCACTCCAGGAAATGAATGCCGTATTGTATTTAGGTCTTAAAGAACTTGAATAACCTTTGGCTCTTATTTATCTGTCTGTGAGTCTGTCTATTTATATCTGTCTTTGGAAAAGAAGAGATATATCAATAATATGAATAGATCATAGATAGAGGGTGACAAGAACTTGTTTTTCATCAGTTTAGAAAAGAGAAAGGAAGGGCTGGAACCTCTGTCAGGTCTGTATTGCTGTCTATATCCCCTGGCAGGTTGTCCTAGTGACAGAGTGTCCGGGTGTCTGCAGGACAGGAAGTGAGGCAAATTCTACCATGTGGCGACAAAGATAAAGATAGATAGAGAGAGAGAGAGAGAGACAAAGATAGAGAGAGAGAAAGAGAGAGAGAGAGAGAAAGAGAAAGATAGATAGATAGAGAAAGAGAGAGAGAGTGAGAGACAAAGATAGAGAGAGAGAAAGAGAGAGAGAAAGATAAAGATATATAGAGAGAGAGAGAAAGAGAGAGAGAGAGAGAGAGAGAGAGAGAGAGAGAGAGATGATGATAGATAGATAGATAGATAATAGAGCGAGAGAGATGATATATACAGTATAATATAGATACATAGATAGATAGATAGATAGATAGATAGATAGAGAGATACAGAGAGAAAAAGATTGAGAAAGAGAGAGAGAGAGAGAGAGAGAGAGAGAGAGAGAGAGAGAGAGAGAGAGAGAGAGAGAGAGAGAGAGAGAGAGAGAGAGAGAGAGATGATGATGATGACATAGATAGATAGAATAGATAGATAGATAGATAGATAGATAGATAGATAGATAGATAGATACTAGATATAATAGATAGAATTGAAAGAGTGCTCGGAGGACAATTAGAGAATAGGTAGAGAATAAAAGGAGATGTAAAAGCTAGTCTATGGGTATTATAACTTGTAGAAGTTCAATATTTGACCGGAGCTCCCTTTAATGCAGATTGCAGCCAATGAAGCGACCGCAATTAAACGCAAGTTGTTTTTCCCTGACCCGGGCCAGGTACTTCACCAAAAAGAATATATATATATAAAGAATAGATATGTAATATACTGTATATGTGTGTGGCTCTGACTAATGCGCATGACCCGATCTGCACTTCTAACCCAGCCTGGTTCTTCTGCATTGCGTGACCCCCAGTCATGACATTTAACACTTCCTGGCTTCCTGGCCCTAAAGTTTTTCTGACCAACTTCCTCCCAGCCCCCTCCACATATGCTGAATTCTGTCATCAGGCTTGCAATAACAATAAGAGATAAGTAAATAATTTCAGTAACCGGCACTGCTACAGTATTCAGTCTGCAACTACTTCGGAATTCAAAGACAAATGTTGGTAAAACATTTTTTACCTGGAACTTCTTGAATTTGTAGGTTAAAATGGAACTTTAGAATGAAAGTTTATCTTTAAACTTAATTTACTACCAGCATCTAAGCCCTGATGAAGGAAACACCTGTGTGTTGTCAGCCATTTTAGGCTAAGGTCTCGTTCACACCTAGGCGTATTGCATATGCGCGTCTGTCGCGCGTTTTTTACCACGATTCGCGGTAAAAAAGTTGCGCGACCGTCGCACGTTTCCGAAGGCTACTTGGCTGTATCCCAATGGAAACGCGCAACAAAACGGCCCAAAGTAGTACCTGTACCTTTTCAGGCGTGGGCCGTTTTGTAGCGCGTTAGGGACGGGCGGAAATACGCCAAGGTGGGAACGAGACCATTGAATACAATGGGATTTATATTTTTGAGCGTTTTGTAGAGCGTTCGTCGAGCGTAGAACGCGCTACAAAACATTCAGGTGTGAACGAGGGCTAAAGGAAGCTCACCGGCAGTATTAGCAGTGTTCTTGTATGATATCAGTGGATGTTATTGCTCCCCTATAATGCACCAGAGCTCACATATCTTCTGTTCTTATACACCTAATAGTTTTCCTAATCCGTCAACTTTATTATAAACCGTCTTATATAAAGCATCACAAAAGGTTATATTGAGGGGCCCTTTAGTCCCTAGTGTGAGCGCTCCGCAGTAGAATCTCGCTGACCCATTGTAATGTTCCATGTAGAGTTTACATAGACTCGTATCGTACTGTTTAATCAGGAAACACGACCTTCCGCCATCAGGCTGCTTCACATCCTGAATGCAAACAGATATTAAAATCACTGAACAAAGATGTTTAATGAGGGAGAATGGGCAGAACCAGTGTCCCCATTGTAAAGTTACTGACAGGTTCTCTTTGCCTCCACATACAGGTAGCTCCAAACCAATTGTAGAGGCAATACTAGAAAAAGAAGCTTTAACACAGCAAATGATAACATGGATCGCTGCGAAACACAGACAGTATTCTCGAGCCTTCGTATTTATTTCAGTAAATGAAAATATGGAACAGCAAGCAGGCAATAATTCTGAAAGTTACAGTAACAATTTCTTTATAGTAAACATAATACTACATTAAAATGGGTTAGCTGAAAATATATAAGAGTTTAATGTCTCCGGTACCGGTAGTTGGGCTCCCCTGTTTCTGCCTATAGTACCAATGGTGGGTCTCCCCTGTTTTTGCCTAGAGTACCAGTAGTTGGGCTCCTGTTTTTGCCTAGGGTGCCATTAGTTAAGGGTCCTTCATTTTGTCCTAGGGTTCCAGTAGTTGGACTCCTCCTTTGTTTCCTAACGTACCAGTAGTTGGGCTCCTCTCATTTTTGCTCAGGGTGCCTTTAGCTTTGGTCCCCCTGTTCTTGCTTAGGGTACCAGAAGTTGGACTTCCCCCGTTCTTGCCTAGGTATCAGTAGTTGGCTCCCCCTGTTTTTTGCCAAGGGTACCAGTAGTTGGCTCCCCTTGTGTTTGCTTTGAATACCGAGAGTTGAGTAGAGTACCAGTAGTTGGGCTCCCCCTGTTTTTGGCTAGGGTACCAGTAGTTGGGCTCCCCTGTTTTTGACAAGGGTTCCAGTTGTTGGGCTCCCCTCGCTCCCCTGGCAGCCGACACTCTTTTTCCTTTCCATGCTCCAAGTTGTGTGACTGCT